GAGGACTCTTTACCATTTTCAGGTCCAGAAACATTTAAGGATTAAAAAAACATGAAATAAGTGGAACACCTAAGAGTCCTCTGTCTGGGCTGTGGCCCTGCTGGCTGCATAGCTGGCTACCACACCAGCCCCTCACTCCATCCCAACACTGGGCCAGGCACTAGGAGGGTGGAGGCTCAAGGCTTCCATTGTGTCCATCCCAGGACCTCAGAGCACTCTTTTCTTCTGTAAGAGTCACGGGAATGTGGGTGAGGCCCAAGGAGGCCTGTGGCCACAAGTCCCTGAGCCCTGGAGCTGCTGGGGACAGTGGGTGGTGGTCAGGCCCCCTGAGCTTCTCAGTTTTCTTCTGGCATCCGGGTCATGTTGCTACCCAAACAGAAGTGTTTTGGCTGGAGAAATTGTATCTCACAAGAGCCAGAGTGTTACTGGGTGGGGTGGTGCATGCTCATATTCCCAGTGACTTGGGAGGCTGAGGTAGGAGGATTGGAGTCTAGCCTCAGCAACTTAGTGAGGCCCTGTCTCAAAATACAAAAATAGAAAGGTTGGGAATCTCCAGTTCTAAGAAAAAAGAGAAAGAGGAGCCTGTGTGAAAGGTGTGAGTTTATACCACACTGAATGGCTCAGAGGCTGGAAGTTGGCAGCAAGATAGCACCACTGTGCTTCTTTTCTAGAAATGGCAAACCCAGCAGTTGCCGCCCTGTTAAGCAGTTTTGATGGTCAAAATGTCCACTGATGAGACAGATTATTCAGTAGGAGGCCTGAGTGCTCAGAGAAGGAAGCAGTAGCCAGAGAAGCCAAGGAGGGTCAATGGAAGTTAAACCAAACCACTTGCCCCTCCTTAAAAAAACAGGGTGACCAGTTATTAAATCTGGACACAGTTTTTTCCCTGCTATATCTGAGGCTCCTGGCTGGGCTCACATTAGGGGATGCGGCCATGCTAGCTAACCATTCAGAGCTGAGGATACGCTCACTGCTCCCCGGGGGCCAGATATGCTGGACAGACATGAACTGAGCCCCAAGGCCTACGCTCCCAGGAAGGGTTGGTCACCACCCTTAAGTTAGAGTTGAAGAAGAGGCACGCAGCAGGTGGGAATGGCCCGAGGTCACAGCTGGTAGGTGATGGAGCCAGATTTGGATGAAATGTCTGTCCCCAGAGCACACAGGCGCAGGTGCACAGCTGGCTTTAGACAGACCTAGAGATAGATCCCTGATTGACGGACAGCAGGGAGGAGGTGGCGCAGAAGCCCAGGTCTCCAAGGACTGCCAATCAAGGTGTGCTGACCTCCCCTAGCCAAGGGATGGCCATAGAACCCCCTGTTGGGTCAATCACATGCTCTTCAAGAATGAAGTGTTTCAACCTCCCTTGCAAAAGGCAGTTTGACTTCCTGTCCTTCCTAGCCTGATGGTATTGCTGTCTTCCCATTGTGACGCCCAGCCTGTCTCACATGGCCATCCACGGTTTAGTTGTTTGCAATTGGAGTCTTGCTCGGGCTGCATTACCTTCTCCCCACTTGGACATCTCCTGTGGGAGTGTGCCCTCCCCTGGGTCCACTGGCTAGTCCTTGATTCCCATGGGTACCGGCAGGAGCAGAAACAACATCACTGGAGGTCTGTAGTGATTGGTCACAGGGCTCTGTCCTTGCCCCATCCCACGGAGCATCATTTCCCCAATTTGGATTTTGAAATCCAGAAGCCTACTCATAAATTCGCAGCTGCCACAGTAGAATTAATGCTTTGTGCAAAGGAAGTGGGACTCTTACAGTGCTCAAGAGTGGATGAGAGCCAGGAAGATGACATTTAACCAGCGTAATATAAGGTCTTCATGTGTTTCCGAAGAATCCACTGCAAGTACCAAACAGGGAGGGAGAGTTGGCTGGACAGCAGTTCGTGGGAAAAAGCACATGCTGTGTTTGTAGTGACTCATGCAGCTGCTGAAACCACAAGTGCTTCTGGTATTGTAGGCTACCTTACTAGAGACTGAGTCTAGGAAGTGGAGGGGACAGTGCCTTTCCACTCAGCAGTTGCCAGTCCATGTAAGGAACAGTTCTGGTCCCCAAACACCAGGAGGGGCATTGAACACACATCAGTGTGTTCTAACAGAGGTGATCCAGGTCATGAGGAAGTCACAGAGACTTGAGGGCATTGATTATAGCTCGGGGGACCCATGGGGAACAAGGATCCTAGTATGCAAATGATTGTAGGGGGCCCCAGAGAAGAGGCCCAAAGACAAAGTACTGCGCACCAGCTTCTGGAACTTACAGAGATGTTTTCGTCAAGGTCCTTTGGGTGGCAAGCACCTGTCAGAGCTCACTTGGCACAAGGGATTCACTGTAAGGTTCTTTTAGTTCTGGAGGGGCAGGCCTGGGGACTGGAGCGGGGAGCCGGGAGCTGGCAGGAGCTGGGCAATCAGCTCTAACTCTCTGCTTCCTTTCTTGCCACAAAATATTTTTCCCTGCTTCTCAAAGCACTGGTCAGAAAACACTGCCCAACCCTGGTGCTGCATAACCCCTCAGCCTAAACCCAGCAGCTCCAAAAACTGTTCAGGCCTGGGAGGACCAAGGAATGAGGCAGAGAGCAGGAAGCCAGGAGAGTGGGGAGAGGTGGGAAGCACCAGGTGGGCAGGGCCAGGTGGGCAGGGCTGACTCCTACGAACTGAGGACACTCCTCTGGCAGCTTGGAGCAGGAGTCATGCCTGCCCGTGCTAGTCTCCTTGCTTCCTTCTTTTTGCAGACTGAAGTCCTCCGGGGATTTGGGTTTGCTTATCTCTGAGGCAGGAGCTCTAACTTAGGCTGAGGGACAAGGTTTGGCAAGGGAAGGTAGTGAACAAGCAAGTGAGGTTTGAGCTTGATTTGAGGATGGAGAAGAGCACTCCAGGCAGAAGGTACTGCTGTTAACAGGCCCAGGTGAAGGTGATGGTAGCAGAAGGGGCAACGTGGGCGTGGGGGTAGGATGAAGCCCCGAGACTAGGGTTCATGGCAGCTCACTGCAATACCAGACCTCAGGAGCAAGGAGATACATTTTAACCCCAGCTCCACTCCATGGGCAGAGGAATCACTGGGCCTGGTAGACAAGATCGACTGGGAGGGCTCTGGGAGTAACAGGTGGGCTGAAGAAGGCAGTTCTGGGCCCACAGAGTGAGCAAGAGTGACCAGGTGGCTAGAAAATGTGCCCAGAGAAGGGGCATGGGGTCGAGGTATCTGAGCAGGGGGAGGCCAAGGGCCAGGGATCTCATTCTGGGAGAACGTGTCTGGGACCCATGCCCAGGGTTGGGGGCCAGCCATCTAGTTCCAGCTCAGACGGGGACAGGAGGAGCCAACTCAGTGACCTGGGTCCTCTGGGAGTATAGATGGGGGTGGGGCTGCCTCAAAGCCACCATTGTTGCCCCCTCACTCGCCTGACTGTCTGGGGCCTAAAATAGAGCAGGAACACAGCTATCCCGTGAGAAGTTTCTGGCCAAGGGGCCTGGGGGGAGGGGCTGAGTCCCTGATGGGAACCCTTGAGTTTGAAACACCCAAAGCCCAGCTGCCTAGCTGCCCACCTGCCTCAAGGATCCTGGAATCCATTGGGGGTGAGTTTATCCCACCTTGTTGTTCCACTGTGGCTGGGGCTGGTTGGGAGACAGCTTGGGTTCTGTCCTCAGCTCTGCTGGGTGACTGTCAAATTCTGTCCCCTTGGGGACTTCAGTTTTCCAGATATACCAGGAGTCAGTGATATAGCACCTGCTTCCAAACCTTGGAATTCACAGCACATGGTCTGGATACAGATCCCAGAGTCAGTCAGATGTGGGACAAAATCCTGGTCCCGCTTCTACTGTCTGAGTGGCCTTGGGCAAGTCTCCTATTTGTTGGGTCCTGTTTCCTCAGGACCTGTTCTTTCCAGGTTTCTGGCCAAGTTATCCAAGCCAGATCCTGTTTTGGTGGGTGTGAGGCAGTACTGGAAATTGAACCCAGGGCACTCTATCACTGAGCTACAACCCATTCTTTTTATTATGAGATAGGGTCTGGGTAAGTTGCCAGGTTGACTTGGAACTTGAGATCCTCGTGCCTCAGCCTCCCAAGTCACTGGGATTTGACCCCTCTTTTTTCTTTTTTGGTACCAGGGATTGAACTCAGGGGCACTCAACCACTGAGCCACATCCCCAGCCCTATTTCGTATTTTATTTAGGGCAGAGTCTCATTGAGTTGTTTAGCTCTCACTTTTGCTGAAGTGGGATTTGAACTCGCAATCCTCCTGCCTCAATGTCCAGAGATGCTGGGATTACAGGCGTGCACCACTCCTGGCTTGACCCCATTTTTTTTTTTTTAGAGAATTTTTTTAAATATTTATTTTTTTTTTAGTTATTAGCAGACACAACATCTTTGTTTGTATGTGGTGCTGAGAATTGAACCCGGGCCGCACGCATGCCAGGCGAGCGCTCTACCACCTGAGCCACATTCCCAGCCCCTTGACCCCATTTTTTAATGCTCTGAACTTTGCTCTCACTGCCTCTGGCTCCCCACACCCTAGAGGGTAGTGATGGCTACTGTTCCCAGTCCTCTCCTGATGTTTCTCAGCCTCTGAACCAATCATTCCTAGATAGAAGGTTCTTGGCTCCAAAGCCCATCCTCTTGGGCACCTACTGTGTTCCAGGCCCTCCCTGTGCTTGGTTCAGCCTTGGAGTCCTGCCGGACAGGGCTGATCCTCCCCGGTGTGCAGATGGGTAAATAGGCTCACTGTTACCCCAGTCCTGTTAAAGAGATCTGCGGAGCACTTTGCAAACTGCATAACATTGAACATGGGCTCAGAGCCTGCAGGCGCGCTGGACTGAGCCGAGGTGCGTATCTGGCGCGCCCTCTAGCGGCTGCTCTGAGCAGTTGGTTGAGCAGCCCAAAGCCGGGCAGGCAAAGGCCAGCGCGGGAAGCCTCTCCTCCCAGCTGCCCGCGGCGGTTCTGCCAGCCGCAGCCGCACCTTCCCCAAGTTGAGAGCTCTTCCCCAGATTTTGTTTCTCCTTGTGGCTTCCCAAAGTCCCCAACGCGGCTGCGCGCCCCGCCCTTATTACCATGGAGATCTCTTGTACACAGTTTCCCCTTTTCCTCGGGCCAGTCCTAAACGCGGTTCCGCAGGCGGGACTAGCGCTGGCCTAGGAGGGAATCCTCCAAGGTCGGACCGTCGGGGGCCCATGAATAGCAGGGCTCCACTTTCCGTGGGGAGAGTGACATTCTTTGGCCGGCATCGCGGGGAGGTGAGGCCCAATGGGCTTTGCCCAGGATCTAGGCTCCTCGCTTGGGAGTCAAGTCCCCCGTTCTGTGTAATGGGGGTTCAGGGTGTTCCCTGAGCTTCAGCTCCAGAAAGGGATCTAGTTCCAGAGAGGGCTTGAAGCTCCTGCTGGCTCCAGTATTCTTGGGCTTTGGCTCTGAAATGAACTCAGGGCTGCTCTGAACTTGCGATTCTCGGCTCCCCCTCTGTAACGGGGTCTTGCCTCTGGGGTTCTAAGGCGGGCTCCAGCTCTGGCTTCAGCTCAGGTTACAGGGTTCCGAGCTTGGGTTGTACAGTGAGGCCTGAAGTCCAAATCACCACTGCAGGTTCCTGGGCAGTGTTTAGGGCTGGCCCAGGAGGATGGGATCAGAAGTGAATGGACAGGTATCTCCTGTCCCAGAAATGGGACCACATCTGTGCTCTACTTCCAGGTCAACTGCTCTGCCTTCTCTCCTGATGGCCAGACGCTGCTCACAGCCTCTGAGGACGGCTATCTGTACGGTTGGGAGACCAAGAGTGGGCAGCTGCTGTGGAGGCTGGGTGGCCACACAGGTGGGGCTCTGCACTCTGGCTGGGGGACAGAGGTCCATAGGTCTGTGCTGGCATTCTGCAGAGCCTAACTTAGTGACCTCCAACACTGGTCCTGGACATAGCTGGAGCAGCCAGACAGAGACAGGACTTCTTGATAGCTGGGGCTTCCAGCTCTTAGATCAGAACTCAGACCTTAATTTTTATTTTTTTCCAGTACTGGGGATTGTATCCAGGGGCACTTTACCACTTAGTTACATTCCCAGCCCTTTTTATTTTTTGAGATAGCGTCTGGCTAAATTATTGAGGCCTCAGCCTCCCAAGTAGCTGGGATTACAGATGTGCACCATCACACCTGGCACTTATTAATCATTTTAAAGGTAGAGTTCAGAGATAAGTACATTCACGTTACAAAACTAATTTATAGAATTCTTTTCATTTTGCAAAACTGAAACTGTACCCACTAAACAACTCCTCTCCCTACTCCCAACCACTGTTCTACTTCCTGTCTTATCAATGGTGTTTGTCTTTTTCACTGGCTTCACTTAGCATGCCTTCTAGGGCCATCCATATTCTATCTACCACTTTTGGACTATGATCTTGGTTGTCATGTCACCTGACCCAGTTCCTTCCTCTATAGAATGAAGATAAGTTGCTACCTTACAAAATCAGATAACACAAAAAGCCTAGCACCCAGTAAAGACCCAGTAGACTTAACTATTAGGGAGAGAAGGAAAACAAAACCAGGAAATTGCAGAGCAGACTTATTTAACACCATGAATAGGGAAGTCCAGGCTGGGCAGCTGAAAGACAGACTGGAATGGAGGCTGGGAGTTAGGGAGGTTTCAGGGAGGAGGTGCCTACATCTGAGTAGACTTTCTAGACTAACAAACTGGGGTCAGATATTCCAGGTTGAGCCTTGGTCAGGCCCAGGTTGGAAATCCAAGCATTTCCAGGTGACTGGAGTTTGGGTGATGGGTGGGCGGCCATAAGACCTGGGCAGTGAGCAGAGGGTAGAGGGCAGTGCCCTTAACTCCTTGCCTCAGGCCCGGTTAAGTTCTGCTGCTTCTCCCCGGATGGCTACCTTTTTGCCAGCTCCTCCAGTGACCGTACCATCCGCCTGTGGGACCTATCAAGAGCTGAATGTCTGTGGGTGCTGAAAGGTGAGTGGGGGTGGGCCTGGGTGCCACATGGCCAGCCTGGGTCCCCTTCCAGGCCTGTATCCTGTTTCACCTCCCCCAATTTCTGTCACTGGGATGGTGACTGCAGGTCACCAGCGGAGTGTGGAGACAATCAGCTTCAGCCCTGACTCAAGACAGCTGGCATCAGGTGGCTGGGATAAGCAGGTGATGCTCTGGGAAGTGCAGGTATGTGAAGGGGCTGGGGACCACCACCTGCCACACCTCTTGCTTTGCTGGTCCAAACCCTTGCTAGTTCCCCACTGCAGCCCTCTCCCAGCCTCCCTACAAACACCCCATCAGATCTTGGGCCTCAATCTCCTTTGCAGGAGATCCCCATCTGGGCTGCCTCTCCTCCCTGCTATCTAGGCCCCCAGTGCTTCCCCAGGCAGTGCTCTTATCACAATATCCAGGCTGCCAAGCAGGGAGGGCCTGGGTCTGCCCTCTACCTCTCTCCTCAGTCGGGACACAAACTGCGCCACTTGGAAGGGCACCATGACTCCATCCAGAGTAGCGACTTCTCCCCCAATGCCAACTGCCTGGTAAGCTTCACTTCTGCCTTGACTCCTGCCTTAGTGGCCCCAGAGGGCAGGCTGGGGGTACTTGTTATGGCCACTGCTTACAGGCCACAGGCTCATGGGACTCTACTGTGCGCATCTGGGACCTGAGGGTAGGGACCCCAGCTGTATTCCATCAGGAACTGGAGGGTCACAGCGGCAACATCAGCTGTTTGTGTTATTCATCATCTGGCCTCCTGGTAAGGTGGGCTGTCCTGGGTTTCAGGATAGTCTTTGGCTGGACATGAGATCCTTAAAGAGCCATTTGGGTGTCCAGTGAGCATGCTGGCCCCATACTCACTGGCACAGAGCTCTCTTTAGGGATCTGGCTCCTGGGACAAGAACATCCACATCTGGAAACCCAATACCAGCAGCCTGATGGTCCAGCTAAAGGGCCATGTAGCCTGGGTGAACAGCATAGCTTTCTCTCCGGATGAGGGGCAGCTGGCCAGCGCTAGCTACTCAGGAACGGTAACCTATCCAGCCCAACCCAGCCATCCCTGACTCCTTGCTCACGTGCCCCACTTCCCAGACTCTTCAGTACCCATTTCCAGAAATGTCCATAAGTCCACTTGCCCAGTCTATTCGCAAGCACTAAGGTCTGAGCCAGACCAGACTGCAGTGGAATTGACACTTCTATGACCTATATAGTTTCAGGCATGACATGGCGAAGGCCATTTAAAATGTACCCTGCAGATAAGAAGCTTCATTTAGATCATGATGGTGTCTGGGACTTGCTGGGGAGCTGCTTCAAAAATGCCACTGTGGCCTATTGAGGTTCCTATCCCTTATTCTTCTACTTCCAGATCAAAGTCTGGGACTACAACACAGGAAAGTGCCTTGAGACCTTGAAGGTAAGACCTGTAGCTGCAGCCCCCAGTGAGGGATCCAGGAAGGACTTCAAGACCTGGAGCCTGGTGCTGTGCTTCTGGCAGGGATTTCTGGATGTGGCCCACACCTGTGCCTTCACTCGACAAGGCAAACTATTGGTGTCTGGAGCTGCTATTTAGGCAAGATACCAAGTCCACTGCTTGTTCAAGTCACACTTGAACAACACAGGCCCACAGTAACTAAGAGTGCCCATCAGACCCTGCAGCCAGGACTGCCAGCACCACACCAAGGCAGCTGACATCTACGGGTGGCAGGACACCACTAAACACCTGGCACTGTAGCTCCAGCCTTAGCCCCAAACCACCTATTCAGTCTGGTCTGTGGAAACAGCATTAAGCACAAAGCACTGAAAGCCAGCTTTTGTTTTATTGCGCCGTGACACTCAGGCTTTGACCGCGTACTTGCGCAGAGGGTACAGCCGCTCTTTCCGCTGCTGCTTCTTGGTCTTTAGGTTCTCCTCGTGCTTGTTGAGCCGGCGGCGCATAGCTCGTGTCTTCTTGGGCCGCAGGTCCAGAGGCTTGTACTTCTTGCCCTGGGACACAGATAGCAGGGTCAATCTGAGAACAGGATTTTAGGGGCAACAGCAGGATGAAGAAGATCTGAGGGGCCAGAATGAGACTTGGAGAGACCACTAGGAAGATGCTGAGTGGGAAGGTGCTGTGGGGAACAGAGAAGTTGGTTTGCAGCAAGGGGTTGTAGGATGTTCACCCAATAAGAGGCTGCTATGTGGGACTGAGGGCCAGCAGGCCACATGCTCACTCACCAGCCCAAAATCCAAGGCTGGTGGGGCTGTCCTCATTTTATGTAAGGCTGTTGACTCACTGGGTCTAGAGGTGCCCACACCTCAGTGTTCCTTCTACTTGCCAGGCTGCCAATAATGAAGCCAAAGTCACACCACAATCCAACAAAGGGCATGTGACACCCACCAGATCCCAGAGTGGTTACTAACTACTACCTTGGCTTTCAGTTATGCCAGATATTGAGGAAGATTTGGCCAAGATTACCAGCATAAGGGGCAGGCTCTGCCCCTCTACTGCCCAGAGCTGAAAAAGAGCCATCGGGTTTACCCTCGGCTCCCACTCCTCTCAAGCCAAGGGCCACAGACTAGGGTGGTTCACTGGTCTCTTCTTTGTTCAGCAACAGCCCTGAGGACAAGGCCCAGTGTAAGCATAGCAACGAAGTAGACCTAGTTTCTACTCAAGAAGATTCCCACCCAGTAGCAAAGACTGAACAGACAACAAGGCCCAAAGATGAGGAGGCAGAAGTTTCAGGAAGGCTTCTTTTAGCAGCAACAGCCTCAAAGGCTAGCATGAAAGCCATCGGTTGAAAGGGCAGGAGACAAGGCAGAGAACCGCAGAGAGAAACTATGGAAGGCGATGAGGGCAAGCCCTGGAAGGAACTCAAAGGAAAGGAAAATCTTGCCCACCCACTTCCTGCTCATCTGCTGGTACTGGTGGGGCACTTAATTCACTTCAAGTTTACTACTTCTTGCAAACTCTGCTGTACAACACAGCAGCCACTCGCTACACATGGCTGACAGTGCAGCATGGAACATCACCATCAATGTTCCCCTGTGTAGCCCTAACCCCTACCTCCTCTACTGAGCAGTTTGAGCTGAGAGCAGGGGCCCTCAATGGATGGCTAGTTATGAGGCTCCAGACTCACTCCTAAGGATAAAAATGTCCTCTCACACAAATGTGCACAAACCCTATCAGGAGGGTAATCACCCCCTACATACCAGTGTCTTCTGAGAAGCTGGCCCAGACACACCATACTAGCTTTAAAAAAAAAAAAGAGAAAAATTGTGGACGGACACAATCTTTATTTATCATGTGGTGCCAAGGATAGAACCCAGTGCCTCACACCTCACACGTGTAAGGCAGGTGCTCTACCACTGAGCCCCAGCCTCAGTCCCATACTAGCTTTTTTGGTGAGTCAAACCCCAACACTAACTTGGGTTTTGATGTGAAGCCACTAGATAGCATTAATTAATCCCCATCAGATGACTTCAATTAAGGGAGATTATCCAGAGTAATTCAGGCAGCTGATTCAGTCAGTCAAAAGCATTTAAAAGCAAGACTGAGGTGCCCTCCAAGAAATCCGACCCGGGACAGCAGCTTCCAGTGTTGTCATGAGTCTTAGTCACATGAACCAATTCCAGACAGTAAATCAAATGTGTGGATTTAAGAACCCAATGGCTTCTGCTGGCACCTGGATAAGGCTAACTTTAAAGATAAGCCACAAAAATGGCCATTAACATTCAAGGTCAAGGGGCTAGACACCTGTGGAAATCTGAGGAGCACCCATTAAGTCTCTCTAAGACACAGTTAGGAAGCTAGGCCTGCCACTTTTCTGACTGTAGATGACTGAGCAACTACCTCTCTGAACCCTGGAGTTTGGCAAATGAGAATGGCAGATGCCTGGTAGCGACTGACACATAGCCCTGGCATTCCTAGACTGGAGATACAGTTCTGTGGAACAGCACTTGCCCAATATGCTTAAGGTGCTAGGCTGGATCCTCAGTACTCTAAGAATAAAACCAGGTAAAACTGGGGCTGGGGATGTGGCTCAAGCGGTAGCGCACTCGCCTGGAATGCGTGCGGCCCGAGTTCGATCCTCAGCACCACAATCAAAGAAAGATGTTGTGTCCACCAAAAACTAAAAAATAAATATTAAAAGGGCTAAGGAAGTTCAGTGGTAAAATACCCCTGGGTTTAATGACACCCCTCCTGGGAAATGGGGCAGGGAAAGACAAACACAGAAAAACCTAACCCCCTCTCCCACAAATGCTCAAGTTGTCTTCAGCCAGATCCACTACCCACCACACCATTCTTGATATCTGCAATCATGTTGGTAAGATGAACTCTAGCTGAGTGTGCTGGCACACGCTCATGATCCCAGCAAAGGGATGGGGAGGCTAAGGCACAAGAATTATGAGTTTAATGTCAGTCTGGATAGAATAGATCCTGTTTCACACACGCACACACGAACCCAGACACAAACTGGGAGGCCCTGGCGAGCTCAAATATTCTCAGCCCAGTGAACCCTAAAAGAACCTCTTCACAAAGCCCGCCCTGGCCAGTGGAGGACTGGAACTTTGTTTTCTGCTGCCAAGTCCCCAGGGGGCCCCCTCACCTTGTAGAATTTCCTGAGGTTTTCCTTTTGAGTCTGGTTAATGACAGTAAGAACACGGGCGATGGATTTGCGGACAACTCGGCTACAAAACAGAAACATCAATGAAGAGGGGTATGACACACAGTATCTCCAAGTATCTTGTTCAGGGCTAATAGTGACATTGTAGAGCAGGGACAAAAACCATCCATGTTCAACATGGAGAAAGGGATTCTGAACGTGAGAATGTATAGGGACTCGGAATAGAGTAAAAGGCTGTTAAGTCCAGTGCTTCTGAGCTAGGACGTGTTGGTTAAAGCAAAACCTGAGGCAGCTTAATGAAGAGGCAAGGAGGATCAGAAGACTTTCAATCCCAAGCCAAGAATTTATGAAGGCTAAGAAAACCCAATCCGCCATCTGAATTAGCGGAGAGGAGAGGGAATCATGCCAGAAGCCAGGTAACCAGCCTAATTTAAGGTCATGGGCATCTGACATTCAAGAAGTTGAAATGCAATGGGGATAGGGACAAATCTAGGAGCAGTCTGGGGCAAATACGGTCTTGAGGTCCAGTTGCCTATAATCAAGCCCTGCAACTCAGGAGACCAAGGCAGGAGGACCACAAGTTCCAGGCAAGCCTCAGCAAGTTAGCAAGATTGCCTCAGAAACAAAAATTTAAAAAGGGATGGGAATATATCTTCAGGGTAGATTGCCCTGGGGAGTCAACCCTCAGTATCAAAACAAACATAGTCTGGAGGACCCATCACACAACTATGCTTATGTGTTCCTCACCTCAATCACCCGTTTCACCTGCCTAGGCAGAAATTTTATGAGTATGTAGGGTGGCATATTATAAAGAAGACACCTTTGCAAGGGGAACTGAATTACCTACCAGGTAAGATGTGGCAAAAATGCAATTTACATTCAGGGAAATGACTCCAAATCCTAGTTCCTTTCACAAGTCTCCCTGATCCTTACTCAAGTTAACCAAGTAAGTTACAACTCAAATAAGAAGTCCGAGGCATGGAAAAAAGAAATCAAGTGCTCATTAGAGGTGGAAGGAAAGGTTCCAGTTAGGCTTTGGCGATAAACAGTTAAGAGCTTCAAGGACTTCAACCAATTCTTTTTCCAGCTACAAAAGCTGATCAAGGGAGCTCCAGAGAAAAAGCACACAAGATCAAAGGCAGTTAAGAGTAAACACATAGCGAGTCTCTCCCGCGCCCCCATGATTCACCTGAACAGGCCAGTTCCTGAAGCCAACTTCCTAAGTCCACAAACACTCCCAACACGCACGCGCCCCTCAATGCCGGCTACTTACATCTTAGAGAGCTTAGACGCCGCACCGCCTGTCACTTTGGCGACGCGCAGCTGGGACAACTCCACTTTCAAGTCGTCCAACTGTTTCAGCAGCTCCTCCTTCTTCTTGCCACGAAGGTCCCGAGCCTTAATCTTGGCCTGCGCGCGGGAAAGGTGTGGGTCAGACACCCCGCGGATCGTCTCGTCTCCGCCATAGGCAGTCAGGGTCAGCACCCACCCTCAGGTCGTGATTCTGGCAGGGTACCCGAGGCCAGGAGGGCTACTAGGCTGGGCCACCAGCCCACCGCGCGACGTGAATATGAGGGCATTTGCCGCGCGCGCCATCTCCCGGGTCTAAGCCGGCAGAGAAGACGGGAGACGGCCTGCGGCGGCACTAAGCCGTTCTGCGCGGAGACCCCTAACCCCAGCCGGCAGATGAGGCGCCGGTGTTCAGCCCGCACCCCCAATCCTAGCCCGGGAACTTCAAGGCGACCAGATGGCGCCGGATTTTCTCGCTCTCACCATAGCTGCACGACCCGCCGTTACCGGAGCCGATGGAAAGAGGAAAAGGCGGAGCTGACCCCTGCAACTACTGCCGGGTGGCGGCGATCGCGGCCAATGGCGCCGCGGCTAGGACTCTCCGGCTCCGCCCTTTCCTCCGGGAGCGCCGGGGTACGTCCGGTCCCGCCCCTCCCCGCCCGCGGAGCCCACGCCGCTTCCGCAGGTGCGTTCTTCTTAGTCTGCGTCCGGGGTTGTGTAGATTGGCCTGGGCCCTGAGCGGTGCACTTGGGGAAACTGAGGCCTGGGATGGGCAGCCTCTGACCAGAGATGGCAGAGTAGTATGGGCTTGAATTTACCCACTCATTTATTTGTTCATTCATCGGGAAACCTTGTAGCTATCCCAATCTGTGCTGCTCAGCTAGGGGTTGGTGGTCTGGAGGTGCGGAAGGGATGAGAAGTTAGGGTTTTCGAAGGTGAATTAACTCAGCCGCTGTCTTGGAGGAATTTATGGTGCAAGGTGGGCGGGAAGAGGCGAAGTCAGATGGCTGTTATCCAACTCTAAACAATCTGGTGGAGGCAGTATGCAGCAGTGTAAATAGCATCCATAGACTTTTTTTTTTTTTTGAGAGTGAGAGAGAGAATTTTTTAATATTTATTTATTTTTTCTTAGTTCTCGGCGGACACAACATCTTCGTTTGTATTTGGTGCTGAGGATCGCACCCGGGCAGCTCGCATGCTAGGCGAGCGCGCTACCGCTTGAGCCACATCCCCAGCCCCCCATAGCCTTTTTTAGAGTTTTTGCAGTGTTGCCAGGTACTGGTGGAAACTCTTTTTGACAAATCCCTTCCCCCTTTTAAGTCTGTTTTCTCACCTGTGAAATAGGGTGTTTACCAGGATTAGAGAAGATACATACAAAACTCAGTACAAGACCTTATGCATACTAATCACTGGTATTAATGTTCTTAGTGGAATGAACACTTAAGTTGGACCCTGAAAATTAAACAGGAACTCACAAAGCAGAAGGGTTTTAGGTTTTCTAACTGGGCATTTCCATTGCTGCCCCAGTCAGCGGTCATTAATCAGTACTCTGGTGTCCCTCCACTGCCATTAACAAAGATAGGTCATTTCTTAGAGCTCTAGTAAAGCCTCTTGTTAACTGAGTGGTGTGGCAGTCACGTGTAATCCCAGTGGCTCCTGAGGCTGAGGCAAGAGGATTACAAATTCAAGGCCAGCCTTAGCAACTTAGTGGGGCCTAAGCAATTTAGTGAGACACTATCTCAAAATGAAAAAGGACTGGGGATGTAGCTCATGGATATAAAGTGCCTCTGGGTTCAATCCCTATACCCCACCCCCCAAAAAAAGAAGCCTCTGGTTGCTGTCATGTGTCACTTAATCCTGGGAGCTTTCTTCCACCCTATTATGAGTAGCAACCTCTCCTTGTGTCTCAGACTCTCTGTGCAACCTGATTTGGCCCTAAACATAGTTAAATGATGTGCCTATGTATCCGTCGGAAGTTCCCTGGAGGCAGAATCACTTGTTTTTATGGTCTCCAGACCCAGCCCATGGATATTTTTCACATGATTGAGTTAACAAGCCTTGCCCCAGACCACAGTGAGACAGACTTCCAGGAAATGGAAGGACATGGGTAAAAGGACAGATAGGGCAATCTTGGCATGGATTAGATTGAGATGGAAGTCTAAAGGTATATCAGGGCTTTGCTGTCCTATTTACCAAATGTTTATAGTTCTATTACAATTAATGCTTGTTTGATATTTTGAATTTGAAGTCACATCTGACTCCCTTGTTTCTTACATGCCACCAGCAAATCCCATTTACTCTACCTTGCAAATATACCTGATTCCTACCACCCTTATTGATGCCTGCTTAGCCTGAGCTATCACTGCCTAATATCTGGACCATTGGTGCAACCTCCTAAATAATGTCTGCTAGCTGGGTGCAGTGGTGAATGCCTGTAATCCCAGGAGCTTGGGAGGCTGAGGCAGGTGGATCACGAGTTCAAAGCCAGCCTCAGCAAAAGTGAGGCACTAAGCAATTCAATGAGACCCTGTCTCTATGGCTCAATGATTGAGTGCCCCCGAGTTCAATCCCTGGTACCAAACAAAACAAAACAAAACAAAACACCTAAATCATCCCTGCTTTGGCTCTTGCTCTCAGATGTGTTCCTAATACAGCTGCTACAGGACTCCTTGTCAACTAAATCAGAAGTCAGGTTATATCACTCCTGTGCTCACAGTTCCCAGGAGTATCCCTTCAGAGTTACGACTGCATCTTTTTTTTTTTTTTTGGTACTGGGAATTGAACTCAGGGCATTCAACCACTGAGCCACATCCCCAGGCTAATTTTGTATTTTATTTAGAGACAGGTCTCACTGAGTTGCTAAGCACCTCACCATTGCTGAGGCTGGCTTTGAACTCAAGATCCTCTGTCTCAGCTTCAAGCCCCTGGGATTATAGGCATGTGCCACTGCACCCTGCACGACTGCATTCTTCATCTAAGAAATTTGCCCTTCAGTATTCAGTTATTACTGACATAGTATAATCTGGATTTTTGAATCTTTTTTTTTTAATATTTATTTTTTAGTTTTAGTTGGACACAATATCTTTTTTTTTTAAAGAGAGAGAATTTTAATATTTATTTTTTAGTTATCGGTGGGCACAACATCTTTGTATGTGGTACTGAGGATCGAACCCAAGCAGCACGCATGCGAGGCGAGCATGCTACCGCTTGAGCCACATCCTCAGCCCCTGGATTTTTGAATCTTATCTCCCTGACAAGTGGAAGTCTGTGACCATGAGCTGTAACATTATTTCGTTCACCACTTTTTTGGGGGCTGTTCCTTACTTGTAAAGTAAGCATTTCTTGTTTCAAGTATCTTCTGATCAGGATGTTCTGGGGGATATGAACTTTTTACTGATTTGTGGACTACCAGAGTCACACAAATGTCTTCCCAGGTATGGAGCTGAAGTACATATGGGTTTTGATAGTTTCCAGAACTTCAGACTATTCAGACTTCCATGGTGGGAATTTGTATCTTTTTTTTTTTTTTAAAGAGAGAGTGAGAGAGGGGGACAGAGAGAGAGAGAGAGAATTTTAACATTTATTTATTTTTTCTTAGTTCTCGGCGGACACAACATCTTTGTTGGTATGTGGTGCTGAGGATCGAACCCGGGCCGCACGCATGCTAGGCGAGCGCGCTACCGCTTGAGCCACATCCCCAGCCCATGGGGGAAATTTGTATCTTTAGCTTCCAAGGTTAGGTTGCACCACAGTCTGGCAGCATTTTTTTTTTTTTAAAATATTGACTTTTTTTTAGGTGGACACAATAGCTTTATTTTATTTTCATGTGGTGCTGAGGATTGAGCACTTGAGCCACATCCCCAACACCTTTTTTTACTTTTTTAACCTGTAGATTGTTCAGTGTGAAGTATTCGTAGCAATGAAAATGGACTGGGGATATAGCTCAGTGATGGAGCACTTGCCTAGCAATCCCTTAGTACAGTGTTGGGAGTGGGGGAGGAATCAGCTTGGCTGTCATAACAAAATGGCAGACTGGGTGGCTTAAAGCAATGAAAACAAGTCATGTTTCAACTACTTTTAACAAAAAGTACAATCAGAGGAAAATGTAATGAAAATAGTTTTCACACTTTTGTATGAAAAAGGCTCATGTTAGCCTAAGGCAAGGGTCAAAGGTAATTAACAGAACCCTTCAGGAAACTAATCATGGCACCTCGGTTGTACTAGACTTTGTCCTAACCTCCTCACCTTCCATCAGATTCTGGGAAGTCAGCTTCTTAAGATGCACTTGTCTGGTCAGAATTTCTCCACATTCGGAATTAGCCCTTTGGGCCAGTATGGTGGCAACGGAGTCATCTACCTCTCCTGGCCCCCTACCCGCAGGGCCATGGTGAATGCTATATACTGCAAGCTTGCGACATGCCCAAGGTAAAATCTGTCAGAGTCTTGACAGCCCCCTGGATACACTTTAAACATCTTTAAAATCTCCCGCTCCTTTAACAGTACGGTCACTTTTGTGTATAAAGCATTGGCAACCAACCTCCTCTGGTTCAGTTTGGTGGTAGTCAAGGCTCCCAGGTTTAGGGACTCCCTCTCTGGTCACTCCTCAGGGCATAAGAATTCTTACTTCCTTCAGGCCGCAGAAGTCTACCCAGCGCTCCAGAAACACATCCCGGCTTCGGTGTCCCTCGGGTCTGGGCAGTGACCACGTCGGGAGACCTCCCCTGTGGCCGCCCCGGGTCCGCCTCCCTGGGCCAGAGTCTCCTCGGAGGCAGGGAGGCACAGTTACGGCGCACACAATGCCAGGTCCGTGCATGCACGGGACGCTCGCTCCCTACAATGGAAGACTCGGCTCACGAAGATGAGAGTAGCTTTCTCGGTACCTGCCGGGAAGAACACTACCCCACAACTCAGGCCGTCCCATCACGTCGGCACGCCCCCCGTAGAGCCCCGCCCGGAGCTTCCGGTTCCGGCGCAGGACGGAAGTGGGCGTGCGGCGGCGTCTGCGCGCGGGGGAGGTGCCGGGCGGCCGCTTCCCGCCCCCGAGCCCGAGCCGGAGCCGGTGCTGAGCGGAGCGGAGCGGAGCGGAGCCGCGGTCGGGCCCGGAGCAGAGCCGGCTGAGGCAGGCTCCGAGCTCCCGACATGGCCCGGAACACGCTGTCTTCGCGCTTCCGTCGGGTGGACATCGACGAGTTTGACGAGAACAAATTCGTGGACGAGCATGAGGAGGCGGCGGCAGCAGCAGGAGAGCCAGGCCCGGACCCTAGCGAGGTGGACGGGCTGCTGCGGCAATATCCTTCCCCGGCGCGGCGCCGGGCCTAAGCGCTCCCTTCCGGCCGGACGCCGCTCCGGCCCCGCCTTCTCACCTTCTCACCTTCCCACCTTCCCCATCCATGGCTCAGGCCCCTCGGGCCTGGCCTTCCCACTCCCCTTACCCCGGCCCCTTGTAGCCACTCTCAACTCCCTTGCGAGCCGGCTGCCTTCCGCCCACGTTCCCTCAGTTCCCTCACCCCTGGCGCCGCCGCCTCAGCAGCGCAGCCCCACGCGGCCCCAGGACCCTGGTGTGCAGGCTCCCTCGGCGGGTCCCCCTCCCATTGCCGCTTCATCCTCTCAAGCTGACCCTGCCTTGGGCGCCCCATAACTCCATCCCTCCTTGTCGGACCTAGGCCCTTTGACGGTGGCGGGAGGAGCCGAGGCGAGCACCTCTGAGTGTTTGAGCGGTCCGGCGGTGGGGGCACCGTCGTGGGCCTTCCTATTTGCTTTCTTGGGCGCGATTGCAGCACAGCATGGGTGGGTGGGCGGGTGGCTTACTGCGGGGAAGAAAGGACCAAGGGGTGAATGAAGGCTGCAGCCTTAGCCCAGCACTGAAGTCTGAGATTGTGCGCCTTTTACCCAAGAGTCGGCTTGATGCCATCCTTTTTCACCTGTTTTCAATTTTCTCCGAACACCTTGGGCTTTGGACCTTCACTGTCTCAGCCAAGCTCAACAAGTGAGTTGTGACTCCCCCAGGAGTCTTGTACAGGAAACCGTGCAAAAAATACCCTACTAGTTTAGAGCTAAGAAAAACCATACAGTGTAGAGTGAAGTGTAAAAGTAGAGCCCCAAGATTAGAAATGACGGTTCTTGTGGCCACAGAAAACAAGCATTTAGAACAGAAGATTAAAAATAGAGGTGATTGTCACAGCCTGCTTGGTCCCTTAGCACAGGAAACTGACTTATTCTCACAGGAAGAATTTTTCTTTATTCAAATGGTGTTACAGGAAGTGTGTTCCCCTCCCCCACACTTGCCAGGGCAGGGTTGGAGGCTCCTGCTGTATATAAATCAGGTTCTGGGTGTTTAATCAGTTGACTCAGCTTGGAAAATCAGGCCCACTGTTTTTTGGGAGGAGTTCTGTAGTGCTCCTCCAATATGCCTTTAAAACAAAAACCTTCAGACTTTCTTTGGACAGGAATGTGTTTTCAAAGGTGAACACCGAAACTTGTATTTCCTGCTCCCTCCAGATTGCTCAGTTTCCCTACTGGTGAAATGGGGTCATGAGGAGGGCCCCCTGAAGGGAAGGTTGGTTCTCTAGTTTGGTGTAGGTCCTGCCTCATGAGCAGACAGTGCTGCAAAGGCTCCAGGGTCAGGCCTTTGGTCATTCCATAGGTGAAGAGACCAAGGCCAGGTCCAGTTGCTGCTTTGGTCTTGTTGCCACAAGGGCTTGTTGAAGGTATGTCTCCCTAAGCCCAGGGCTAGTTATAGTTGGGTTTCTTGAGGCAGGTTTTTTCTTTTTCTTTAATAAAACCTATTAACATGCAGGGGTTAATAGGTTTTCCACTAATGGTAGTGCCAGAAACCTTACTATGAAGAGTATATACTATTTGGAATTGGGAAAAAGGAGGTTAGCAGATGAGGAAAACTGAAATCATGGCAAATGTGGGCCAAAGTAAGGAGTAGGAAGGAACTATTATTTGAATCCCTACCATGTGCCAAGTATTGGACTTGTGTTAGGTCATTGAATTTAAACTATAGAACCTCTTAAGAGTCTTAGGGGAATAGGAGAGAGGTTGATTGAGGTGGAGGAGTTGAGAGAGAGGCCTGTTTCAGGGTAGTACTGGGGAGTGTGTGGGAAGTATGTCATGGTGGGAGATCATGCTGAAGAAGTAGAAAGAACATGGGCTGTGTATCAATACAGGTCTGCTTTGTTGTGCTCTGGTGACCTTGCATAGGTCACATTCCTTCTCTAAACCTCAGCATCCTCTTCTCTTAAACAAAAGATAGCCATGCTGGCCTCATCAGTTCCATGGGAGCAACACTGGGCACCCAGCAAGTGTGCCCAGACATACAGCTTGGGACAGTGATAGAGCAGCAGCAAGAGATTGTCGAAAGAGCTTGAGCCAGGCAAGGTGGAGTGCACCTGCAGTCCCAGTGACTCAGGAGGCTGATGCAGGGGGATTATGAGATTGAGGCCAAACTCAGAAACTTAGCGAGAGACCCTGTCTCAACAAATAAAAAGGGCTGGAGATGGAGCTAAGTGGTAGAGGGCCCCTGGGTTCAATCCCCAGTAACACAAATAGAAAAAAGCTTGCATTTGAAGGCCAGCTGGATAACCTGACTTGATTTTTAAGCAGGTTATTTTCCTTCTTAGAGCCTCAGTTTCATCACCTTTTAAATGGAAATAATGGTTCTTGTCACAAAGGGTTTTTGGAATTAAAATTATAGGAAAAGCGCTTGGACCAGGTCCTAGGCCTTTTGGCAATAGTACCTTTTCTCAGTAAAGCAATTCTGGTCCTCATAGTAAGGACTAAAGCAGGATTTTAAATGATCTTGCACTCTTCCCCAGACCCTCAGGAAATTTGCCAATGTTTGTAGACATTTTGATTGTCACAATTTAGGGTGTTACTGGAATCTAGTGGATAGAAGCCAGGGATGCTGAAATGCATCCTATAATGCTTAATTATAGGATGCATCCCACATCAAAGAATCATGTGGTCTAAAAAATCTGTAGTACCATGGTTGAGAATAATCTAGAAAAGAGACTAGGGGCTGGGTAAGCTTCCTCCAGCTGTCACAGCCTGTTCTTTGAATGAGCCTAAAAGCCAGAAGGGTACGGAGGCCAGCTTCATAAATGATATGTGATTACAAGGAAGTTCTCCAAAGTGGCTCCAGGCTCTCCTATGTCATTGGCTGCACTGTTTCCTTGATAGACTAGTGCTGCAGGGACTTAACATTAAAAACAGTGACTTTTTGTCCTCATCCACTAATTGTATCATCCTTGCCCTTCCCTGTCCATCCTGTTGACTAATCGCTCGCTGTGCTAGGTTGAAGTGAAGAGTGAGCTAGCCCACATGTCTTATTAAGCCTCTGGGACCTTGCCTTTTGCTTTGAGGACACCATAATAGAAGAAAGGAGCCTAGCATGGTGGTGCACATTTGTAATTGGCTGAGGCAAGAGTGTCACAGGTTTGAGACCAGCCTGGACAACTTATAGTCCCCAAATAGAAAATACAAAGGGCCTGATATAGTGCAGTGACTAAGTGCCCCCAGTTAAATCCTAGTACTAGGAAAAACCAAAACTGCATGGTAGAGGTTATCAGTGGTTGGTATTAGGATTGGCCCTTGTAAGGCTGGTTAAAAGGAATTCCGGAGCTGAAAGATAAGAGGGGTGGGCTGCTGCTCCAATGTAGAAAGTGGATTGGAGCCAGGCAGGGAGCTGAGGAGCCAGGGCTGGGAGTGGCTTGCCCGAATGGCATAGACCCAGCTCCGTCAAGATGGAGTCCACACTAGGGAAGCTGGGAATTAAGCTTTGCACCAGAGGCTCTCTCTGTTCACATGTGGGTATCACTGCATGTGCAGGAGTAAAGACCTGATTGGGCAGAGCTATTCCTTGTTCTATTTTTGAAGCTTTTTGGCTGCAGCCAGTGTTTCACATGAGGAAATGAAAGTCGGCTGATGTAATTTAGTTTAAAATAGGTGTCACCTTTGGGGACCTAACCCAGATTGTAATTTTCTTTTGTGTGCTGGGTATTCAGAATTCAGCAAAAAATGTGGTGTCAGGATTCCAACTAAGTTTGAGGGAGTAGGGAAATGGAGATCAGCTCATTTTATTGGCAAAAGTTTCTCACAGAAGTTGGGACTTCAGCTGAGGTTGTTGTGGCTCAACAGTGGAGTGCTCACCTAGCATGTGAGAGGCACTGGGTTCAATCCTCAGCACCACATATAAATAAATAAGTAAACTAAAGGTATTATGTCCACCTACAATTAAAAAAAAAAGTTGGGACTTAATTGACCCTGGAAATAGAAATTTTAGTACATCTTGATTTCTTTAGTAGTTTAGTAGTTGTATTAGGCAAAAGTTAGTCCTGTTTGTGCCTTCATTCTTTGAGAGTGGCTTCTAATTCATGTGCACTGTTGCCATGAGGACCCAATAGGGCAGATATGGTGCCTAGTACTAAACAGGTACAAGCAAGCTTAATCACTTTTTACTGTAAGCTACTCCTCAAGGACAGCTGCTTTTAATGGGAGGTGGAAGGAAGGGCTTAGGGTCGCCAGAGGTGCCCTTCACCCTCCCTGAGGCTCAGAAAAGATTGAGGTGTAAACAGGCTATGCCCACTTGGAGGAGGCCATCAGTGTATGATGGGTGGAATGTGTTAGATCCCTTTTCACTCTGCTTTTGAGCTGTTTTTAAAGTGATTTCATTAGTAAAAGCATGGACATGTTTTAGCCTAGCCATCCTTAACTGGCAGTGATGCACAGGGGACATGCTTCGGGCATTCCATGCAGCTTTGCGGAACTCTCCAGTCAACACCAAGAATCAAGCTGTGAAGGTAAAGGGGGATGTGCTGCAGCTCTGCTGGGTGTTGTTGGGACCAGGGCTGCAGTTGTCTTACTGGAGCATGAGCTCCTTGGGTCTGGACAGTGTCTGTTTCATCTGAGCAATAGTGGCACTGGGTAGTACTTCCATGGAAGCCTCCTGGCACTCCCCGTATGTTGAGATTCCTCTGACATCAAAGCTGTGATTTTTTTTTTTTTTTTGTGATGCCCAGGGCTTATGTTTGCTAGGCACTGCTGAGCTACGCTCCTAGTCCTGAAGCTATGTTTATAATAAAAGCTCCCCAAAGAAACACTGACTTTTCCCTAGGGCCTTATGAGGCTAGAACTTAGCCCAGCCCTTGATGATTAGCAAAACAGATAAATGAGCTGCCATGTGGGGCTTATCAGTGGTTATGCTTTTATAGCTATTGAATAGGCTTTATATGCATAATAAGGATTTTAAGTGCTTTTGCACTTCCTGCCTTTTAAAAACTAGGTGCAAAAATATAATTATGCTGTTGCATCATTGAGGCTATCTAAAACTTGGTGCAGGGAGAGGGGCCTCCCTGCAGCTAGGATTCTGAAAGCATCTTGATGTAACCTAGCAGCTGTACCTTTGCAGTGGTAGAGGGGAACAGCCCCTCTATTTCTGGGTATGTTCAGGGCAAGCTGCAGCCAAGTAAGCCAGTATTTTTTAAAAAAAAGAAAAGCTCACTGCTTTTATATCTTGTGGAGTCTGAGGCCTTGCTGATGTCATAAAAAAAATCCCCAAAATAAGTAGAATAACTTCCTGGCAAGTAAGGGGGTAACATTGAAATTAATTAAAAAAAAATTAGCCTACTTAATTTTTTCAACTGTCCTAGATGAATTTGAAATTGAGCAGATTTCTGGTGAGTTCTGCCCACTTGATTTGGTGCTGTGGGTATGAGTGTGGTTGTGGCTGGGCTGTGGCTCTGGACCTCACTCCCTTTCTCTTTCCTTTGTAGGAGCGAGCCCAGGGTGTGGTGCTGAAAGTGCTCACAAACTTTAAAAGCAGCGAAATTGAGCAGGCTGTGCAGTCACTGGACAGAAATGGCATTGACTTGTTAATGAAGTACATTTATAAAGGGTTTGAGAAGCCCACAGAAAATAGCAGCGCAGTGTTACTCCAGTGGCACGAAAAGGTACGTGAACACATCGCCCCCTTCAGGCAGCCTGCTGACATGCCTCAGCATTCAAATCAGTAGGCCAAGATTTTCCAAAATAAACCTAGGCTAGTCTAAGGGCCAATGAGAATGACAGGCCTAATTCCGGATATACAATCACCTGCTTTTCCACAGAAGCACGTGGTAGGTATCTGTTGTCTCTGGTAATCGTGGTTGCTATTGTTTTTTAGCTGCTGATTTATGCCAGGCAGGACATGGGGGCAGGTGCCATGGCATGGTAAGGTAGGAGGGAGGCATGCTGGTTGGGTGGGGCTTCATGATCCCTTCTTTGCATTGGTGGAAATAGCTACTGAGGGAGTTGGGTGGAGGGATCTTAGAAATGCAGGCTCAATCCTCCCACCTATTCTGAGGGCTTCCTGCCTTGGCCTTTCTGGCTTCTCCAGACCCATAGGGACCATGGGCAGAAACCTTGATGGTCATTTAATCCACTAGAAGTAGGAAAAAAGCTGTGTTTGCCCTTGGCTTGTGGGGTAGGAAAAGGCCTTGTGTCAAGCTTGTCTTGTGTGCTACTGTAGCCCTCCCGACCTCCAACTCCTTATAACACTACAGTGGGCATGCCTGCCATTAAAGAGGACCCGGCTAACACACTGTCCTTCCTAAGAAGCCAGCATTGAGTTTTGAAAATGCTTCCCTTATTGGTGGTTAGATCCTCATGTAGCCATGGTGCTGGGTTATGGGTGCTGGCTGTGGCCTCTAGTCCTGCTGGTAGGTGTGCTGTTCCTTTTTGGCTGCCCCTTTGCTGTGGCTCAGTAGGTGCAGGAGGCTTTGTTGCTCAGGAGAGTGAGCAAGCCCTCTGTGTGGCATGGAAGCCAGGTCCTTTCATCCCCTTGGCCCTGTGGGGTGGTGTGCATTTTTTTTCTTGGGAAGTGCTGACAGGCTGGGAGCAGTGAGCTTGTCCTGAGAGAAACTTGTGTTCTGCCGTGTGCCTCTTGACTGTGTTCTCAAGCCAGTTCTACTGCCCCAATGCTGGCAGCTCCTGGGACCCTCGGCTCCAGACAAGCCGCCTTCCCTAGAACTTGTTTTCCTTCGCAGGAATCCTTTGTCAGAGGGTCTGTGACACAGTGGGATTAGGTCCAGGAATGCATGGTTCCATCTCCCCCTTGGTCATCCAGGTCTCATTTGACATGCTTCCTTTTCCTGCCCCCACAGGCCTTAGCTGTAGGAGGACTAGGCTCCATTATAAGAGTTCTTACAGCAAGAAAGACTGTTTAAAAAAAAAAAAGACTCATGTAACCTTGAGAAGAATTTTGGATGCCCAGGCTGGTGAAGAAGGGATTGACAATGGACCATCTTCCTAGGAACTCCCAACTAAGTATTTCAGGACACATATCTGCTGAAATCGGCTGAAATGTATTTTATTTTTGAGGTGGAGGGAGAAATCATCTTACTGTTTCCTAAATCCTTTGCAGGATCCGAGAGTCTGCCTTTGTCTACAAAGTGATGCAGAACTGACATCGCTATAGAGTGATGCAGAACTGTCTACAGAGTGGCTGGCCAGTGTTGGTCATTGTGTGTGCACTGCCTGTTTGTTTAAAATGGGGGAGGGATGATTTGGGTAGGTGCATATCCAAGGGCCACGGTGAAAGGGAGAGCTTGTGTTTTTGAAGTGGAAAAACCTGAGAGTTTGTACAGACATCCTGTCTTCCCAGAGAAGGCGGACTCTCTTGGGTTCATTGTAAAGTGCCTGCTGCATCAATAAAGCTCTTGGCTTATTAGTATATCATTGCGGTGTGTTTCATGTATGTAAAAAGTTTAATGAATGGGTTGATCATGATTGAGAGTTTGACTGTTCTAGAAACTCCATGTGGAACGGGTGGGTGTGCTTTTCTGTCCAGCCATCCCTGGGGAGAGAGCATGGAAGTCTGGAGGCCTCTTGTAACACAGAACTTCAGCAAGCCTTGGCTGCAGAGTCACTGGATGCTTCAGAGAGGTGTTTTGTTGAAAAACTATTTATTGTTTCTTACTCATTTGATTTGTATGTAATTTTGGAGCTTATTTAACTTAATAAACTGTCAGACATTTACTAATTCATCAAGGCTTTAAAAGTCTTCAGTTTGTGTGCTTACACTTTTGAGTCTTTTGAGAGTAGGCCTTGGCTGTACCTAGTCATATCTCCTGATGCTGGGTCTGCTGTGTTCCAGGAATCTAAGTTTTCTTTAAAGAACTACCAGAAACAGTTAGCAATCAGCCAACAGACATAAAAAGAACAAAATTTTGTTCCACATAACCACCAACGGTGAGTCTCTTAGAAGAGCTGCTTCTCAGCATGTGTAACTACAACTTGCATTCTGTTAAAGGACCCTTACTCGAATTCCTGAAGCTCATAGTCAGGCAGGCCCTGGATATCGACTTTGACCAAAGTGACTACAAGCCTTTGCCTTACCCAGGTCCTCTGCAGAACCATGTGATGCTTGGGAGGGAAGACTAGATTGTTGGCACCATTAAATCACATGTAATCAAAAGCCCAGCCTGGGGAAGTTCTTTCTGAAACCTCAACCCTTGAAACATTAAATATAAGACACAGTACATTAGATTTAACAAGTCAAGAAATGCCAAAGTATATCAAGTAAAACCCACTGTAGTTGTCTCTGGTTTGAAGAGCTTTAATCCAAAAGTGTATTGCACCACAAATGAATTTTCTACAGCAGTTTTTAGGTAATACAGTTCCTATTTTACAACACTGAGCGTGTGGATCAAGGTCTGATGCTCATATAAAGGGCAATATATATACATACATATATATATGTATATATACTGTATCACAGAAAGTTTTATACAAAGTAAAAGTGCATTAAATCACTTGGAATATTTACTCCATTCTTCCTCTTAAAGCTGAAGGAAATTCAACATGCAGGAGGAAAGCCTAGTCAGAGGGAGCTGTCTTAAGCTACTGGACTTCATAACGGGCCTCATAACCACCCCTCAAACTGCCAGGGAGTGGCACAGGCTTCCACAAAAATGTTGTAGCGGCCTCTGGTAAGCCATGAACTATCAGTCCCCTTGGATTCTTTCCTGGAACAGGTGAAAAGGAGGAAGCTACCTCTTCCTCATCAAAGTTAGCAAACAAAAGGGGCTCTGGTTCCATGTCCCCACTAGGTGGGAAGTAGCATTCTAAAGGGACAGACATCTGCAGGAAGTACCACACAAGGAGGTAGGTAACTGGAGAATGGTTCTTTTGCATGGGAGAGCTGGAGCTGGGCTAAGTAAGGTCTTGCTGCCCTGGCTTGGTACTTCATGGAAATGAAGTAAACTGCCAATACTTGTTTTTCTGTGAGATATATTTTATGTATGTCTGTATATATATGTATTTTGACCTTAAGCATAATTGAGGAACAATTTTACATAGATACATGACATAATAAATTTAGGAGCTCCAGTTATTAGTAGTTTTTTATTTATCAATGAAACTTTTATCAAACTATAAATCAGTAAATGGTTTCCTTTTAGATTCCATGTTGTGGCTTATCCAGAACAAGCATAATAATGAATACTAGTTTTTGCCAGCTCTTGTTGGAGGCATGTGTGTGCTATCAAGTACTGTAGCCAGCTGGGGCTGTTTGGACGCTGTACATGAATGTAGTGTCAAATACAGGGGGGCAGGGTGATGGGGAGAGTGGCTCCACATACAAGGCAGACTGCCACCAATGTTTTGGTCAAGGCTGAGGGAAGAAGGGGCAGCTGCTGCTCTGGTTGAATAAAGCAGACTATTAAGTAGAAAAAGTGTGATAAGCAGTGGTAGTAAGAATTTAGAGCAAAGCTGATGACATACCACGGCTTCTTCGGAGAATAGAATCACAGAGGGACAGGAATCCTGTTTATAGAAACATTTCCTCTTGATGATTTGATCTTCCTTTAAGAACACCAGTTAAATGGATTTTATAATACAGAAGATATGTTTATAATAGTGAAGAACTATTTAGCTATAAAAAATAGTTTAAAATGGTTTACCAGCAACCTATCCAAGATAAGTACATTCATTAAAAAGGCAATTGAGTGTATTTGGTACTATACTTAGAATCTCTTTATCTGACTGCTAGTTCTCTTAAGTAAAATGGAGACACCGTCAGAAAGTTGCATATTCTTCATGAATCCACACTGGCCCCAGAGTACCTTAAAGATGAACACATCTCAAGTTCTAGGTGGTGTGGGAAACAAAGTGAAATGATGTTTTCTCAAGAGGAAGGGTCAAAAGCCTCTCCTAACTCAACTGATCCAAAATACGCTAACGGAAGGGGACTTTAAAAGCCACCTTCACGGAGTTGGTTTTTTTGTGGCAGAAGCAGGTGGGTCTGGCCTGCTGGGCACCATTTCAAAGGGCTGTCGTCGCCTCTATACATCACCTGTACATGATGAGTCAGTTGCAACCTGACATACTGATCTCTGCTTCAGCTTTTCGTGCTAATGTTAAGAGGACTCGCGTGCTGGCCAGGGCTAGGATATTAGCAGCACTGGAAGTCTAGGTAGTGCTGGGACCCTCCCCATTGGGTGACCAGAATAACAGGATCAGCTCCCTCCTGCGGTGCATGTCAGCCTGCAGGAAGGTAGTCTAAAGTCTTGTAAACAATATTTAGACGCTTGTACAAAATACTGCTTTTACAGTGATTAAAAACCCACCCAGGCTGGTGTGTCAGTGTTCTTTTCACAGAAAAATGTCAACCCACGGAGCTCCATCCTTGGGTGTTCCCTCTAGGACCATGGTATCCGAGGGTTTGAAATAGATGGCCGGATGCTGCCCTTGGGAGCTGGTTTAGAACCAAACCACGACATCTGTGTTTGAAACAGAAAAGGCTCCTGAGAAGAGAAGCAGGACTGGAAGCAGAAACAGCCCCCTCTCCTTCCCTGAGTCCCTGCTCCCAACCTCTGGCTGTCCTGACTGGCTGTGAACAAAGCAATGGAGATGGTTCCAGTTACCAGTCTGCAGAGCTGAGAGCCCCATTCTAAGTGTGGGAAAGAAACTTGAGGTGATGAGAACAAAGTAATAGAATTGTAAGTAAGTTTTTCTTTTTTCTTTCTGTAACTGGGAATTGAACCCAGGGTGCTCTTCCGCTCAGTTATATCCCTAGCCCTTTTTTAAAAATTTGAGATGGGGTCTTGCTAAGTTTTCAAAGCTGCCCTAGAATTTGTGATTCTCCTCTTGCCCTTATCTTCCCTGGTAGCTGGGGTTAGAGGTTGCACCGCTATACCCGGCTGCTGGTAATTTTTTCTGTTTCAGCATTTATGCAGGTGATTTCAAAAAAATTTTCTTGCTGTTGTGCTAGGGATCAAACTCAGGGCACCTGCACATGCTAGGTAAGTACTCTACCAATGAGCTACATCCCCAGCCGAGAATTTTTTTTTTTTTTTTAAAGTGCTATGCCAAATGTGATGCTGTTGATGAAGTGCTATCAACAAAAATGCTCCAAAAAATACAGTCTGCTCGTCAAATGCAGCACATTTGGGCAAAAAAGTTCTCAGTACTCAGATCAAGTTCATCATCCAAAAGCAACTTAGCTGATAATGCAACTGTGACTGGTTACCTGCCTCCAGGGGCTGGTCTCATTTGCCAGTGCTGGGATGTCTGACTAGAGTGTTTGGCAGCTGAAACAGCAGATCAGAACCCTACCTTATATTCCAGAGTTTCCTTGAGCATGTTCTCTTCCTCTTGTGAAAAGTTCAGCAACACTGACACAGCTTTTATAAGGTGAAAAGCCTGAAACAAAACAGGTTTTGCTTGATGGGGTGGGGGCAGAAAGTAAGGGGACTAAATGGTACAGCATTTCCTGTTTGCTTTGATTAGCAAGGACAAGTAGCTGAAGTTTGTACTTTCTGAAGTATGTCAGCAATGATATGTTCTGTTCCTCCCCCCCCCCAATCTCTCATTCTGGGGACTGGAAGGACCAAGAGAACATCCTCTGCAGTTATTCTGCTCTTTTGGCAGTACTCAGGAATGCTGGGTGGATTCTGTTCCCAAGACTCTGGCCTTAGCATCCAAGTTAAGATTTGAAAGTGGAGCTTATATCTCCCCCTATGAGCCAGTTTCCTCCGTGGTCTCTACCTTCCTATGGCTCAATCAGCAGGCCACTGCTGATTGAGAAATGGCCAAGTATCCACATGGAACATGGAGGTGGGGGAGGGAAGGAAGTGGACTGGGTGGGAAGCTACGAGCAGGGCTGGGCTCAATACCCAAAAGGCAGCTTGGTAGCTCTTTACCTCGGATTCTCGGCAGGACATGAATTTCAAAACAACATGTTTAAGGTACTCGAAGTTGATCTCCCGGGCATCAGTCAAGTCAGCATTATTCGTGACAGAAGGGGCCATGTTTGGCATCTCAGGGCCTGGCTTTTCCCGGACTTCAAAAAGCTCACTGTCGGGTCTGATTTTCTGACAAACCAATGGGAAAAGTGTTAAGTTGAACCCTCCAAGACAGGTAGAAAATCACGAGTGTGGGGGGGTGTTTGTTCCCTGGCCCCAGCTGTGATCACCTGCTGCTCTCTGCCTAACCTGCCCCTTAGAGGGCAAAAGGGCCCCAACCTGGAAGAAAGCACCAGAGTCTGAGGAAGGCTCAGCTCCTGCGGGTAGGGTTGATGGCTAGGAAGGCATAAGGTCGTTGTTTCCGGACACATGTCCCTGAGACAATGAGCATCCCAGCCTGGAACAAAGATGCTGCTCTTGTCCCATGTTGATCCAAACATTGTCCTATACACCCTGTACCAATACTACCACAAGGACTCCCAGTGCAAGCCCCACGTGCAGGTGAGGACACAGGCACAGAGAAGACAGGCATGTGCCCAAGACTGCTGTTCTACCTGCCCACACCTGACCTCCTGGAGATCCCTTGGCAAACAACTGGGGGAGCACCATCAGGCAGCAAAGGACCCCAGGATGACCTAAACCAGAGCACGGGAGTGGGGAAAAGAGGGTGGGGGTGGGCACATGGCATGGGCACTCACCAGCTCCTTCTGCAGCGTCTTCTTAAGTTCCAGCATCCTCTGCTGCATCTGCTTTATGGTCTGAGATAAACCCCCACCCCGCCCACACCCAGTTGTTAGAGG